CACCCGCAAAGCTCCACCATGGATTTACTGATGACATATTCATTTCTTTCAGCTTGACATGGAAAAGGAAGTTTTTGCCACTTCGGCGACACTTGGGGAATTGTGTGTTGCTGCCTACATGGGGGCTTGCGCATTTCCTGCCGACTTGAATTTTCACTTGACTGACTCACGACTCGCTCCACGTACACCGACATACCGACATAGACCCAGAAAACAGAGACAGCAGCACACACAGTGAGGGTAGTAAGCCGCAGCCAGATGTCAATTAGAATGCAGAAGAAAACCAGCAGTAACAACAGAGGGACTGACCCCAGGGGGAAAGAATGAGTACATTCGGCTAACATAAATTGGCTACGACAAAGACCACTTGGGACGGTCAGATTAATTTCTCTGGACCGAGCCAGCTGGGAAAAAACCCTCACGCCGACGGACGCAGGAATGAGAGAACAACTGGGTGTATAACCCCAATTGGCAACATCATCATCATCATCATCATCACAAGCCCATAGCCCTAAGGCCGTCGGGGCGGCACAGAGCAAGTATGAACAAGCGAGCGCCATAAAAATCGATCGCGTGCAGCAGCGAGCAGGGACTGCACGTCAAGTGCAGTATGAATAATATTAACAAGCCATGACAATCTGGGCCTGACTCGGCCACGTCCTGCAGCAACACAACCCTGAAGAACAGTCAGCCGGAACGAACAATATGACCAAAAAATTGCAATTTCCTTTTACGAACAGAAACAATCAGTGGAATTTGTTTGTGAATACTCTTTATTCCCTCTCTAACAGACACATTGGCAACATGGCAACATGGCAGCGTAAAAACAGGCACAACATATCTACAGCCAAGAAAGAAGGGGAAGAAGATGGGCTATGAAGGGTGGAAGGGTGGGGACACTGGTGAGACTCAAAAGCCTGACTGAAGAAGTGAGGCAAAATGAACAGCAAGAGAAAACATTTTGTTGCGGGAGAAAATCAGTTCTCGCCTCACTCGCTCCACTCGCCCAGCGAGAAACATACCTACCATCCAGAGCACACGTGAAGTCCATCGAACCGTACAATAGGTAAACAAGAGCGACTCTGACTCACGTTGCCATCTGTTGTTCACAGGGTGTTTGTCGCGCTGGAAACAGAGCGTCTCTGTAAGAAGTATGTATCCCTGTTGATGTTTGTGCCTGGAAAGCACTATGCTCTTGAGACGCAATCTTCCTTAGCCTACACAAGCTCAACCGATCGAGGAAAGAAACACATTATCAATTCTTGGAGTGCTCTAGCTCAATCTTCACATCCACAACATCCGGATTGAATTTCACTCGCAATGGTCCACCAATGATTTGCTGATGAAATCGTCATTTCTTTCAGCATGATAATGGAAAAAGAGGTTGGTACCACTTCGGCGAAACTTTGGGAATTGTGTGTTAACGTTAACCATTACCGTGACCATCTGGTGAACATAATAGACAAAGGTAAAATTCTTTATTCAAGCATAAATAATGGCCGAAAGAATAGCATTACAAAATTATCACTTGCAGTTCAAACCGCCAGTTCATCATTTTGGAACGCTATCGGAATTTCGTCATCAACAGATTCAAACCATACAAAAATAATGTTGTTATTCACGACTTCTCGCTCCACTTACACCCATATACATGTACCGTCATGGACCCAGAAAACAGACGCAGGAGCACACACAGGGAGACCTGATAAATAGACAGAAATAATTAGGAAAACAACACAACAGCGCAACAGTAAGCCAGAGAAACAACGTTTTTTCTGAGGTGACGTGCTACAATGTCCCTGCTACTTCTGCTGGTCATGATCCGGCGTGGTTGTCCTAAGCGTTTTCTTTATTGTTATCAATTCAGACATGGGATTGAAAATCGTTTGGGAACTCATGGTCAGGCACAAGGGAAGAATGGATGACGTGAGTGGGCTTTCGGTTTTTGACCTTACTGGTGGGTCTGATCTCCTCGCCTTCCACAGCTTTAGGAGCCGCATCTGCGCCCTGGTCCTTGAAGGGTGGTGGTGTTCCTACGGATGCGGTAAACTAGGCCTCTCGGCGGGTTTGCCACGGACAATGACCATTCTTTTTGCTCGTGGCGGCCAATCGTAAATGAACTTTTAAAATTCGTTTTTTAGAGAACCTAAAGAAACTTGATTGGCTCCTTCCCTTACCGCGATCATCTGCTGAACATGTATACAAAGATAAAATTCTTTATTCAGGCGTAAATAATGGCCGAACGAATAGCATGACAATATAATCACTAGCAGTTAAAACCGCCAGTTCATCATTTTGGAACGCTATTGGAATTTCGTCATCAACAGCTTCAAACTATACAAAAATAATGTTTTTATTCCAGACAGGCAGAAAAAACCCGAAGACCAGAACGCAACGATACATTCTGTCTGACATTCTACTGCACAGAGGTGGACATGCGCGCTCCAGGGCGTTCTGCTCCAGCAGGGCCGCCTCCTCCGCAACTGGCGGAGAACTAGCAGCCTCTTCTTCAACGGAAGGAGCTTGCTCGACGGCACACCGATCTGGCGGAGTGCGCGGTCGAGGAAGCTCCTGCAATTCCTCATCCTATCGTGCTAGCAGGAATCTTGCCCAATCGGCTTCATATTGATCTGTCTTCCCTCCATTGTGCACAGACTGTTGCAGAAAGTACCCGGATCCTAAAATTACAATTGACATCCAAACGCGAACTGACAGACGCCAACTGACTAGTGCCAGTGGGTTGCATTTAGACACAAAGACACGTAGCGAAGCTGTTTCGCTTTTATACTCGGAGACGTGTGTTTTCGCGTACTTTACAACTGAGCGTATTACTGCTTATGTGATACGATGTGAGTATCAAAGATTCTTCGCTAGTACCGGTAGTACCGAATCGTAGCAAATATCACGGCGAGTTTGAGCTAGGGAGGGCCCAAATTTGCTCAAAAATTTCGCATATGAAACTTTCGCATATTGGCCACTTGCTTCAAAATACTAGTATGCTTCGAAATCTCACAAAATCAGAAAAATATGCTCGAAATATGCTTGATCACCAGAACTGATATCATGATATCAGTGATAATTATGCAAGATCTTTTCTCCTTGTAGCAAAATATGCTACATTTGGTACAATATGGTAGATTTGCTACTTTATGCGACCTTGAGTCAAAAGGACCAAAATATGCGCACACATATTTTGGCCCTCCCTAGTTTGAGCCTTGAGATGTCTGTATCCATACCCAAACATCACAACATAGTTGAGGCACAGATGCAAAACGTAAATTGCGGAGTTATGAGTACTTGAAGTACATCACGTCCACGTAACAAGGTTGTGTAAATAATCAACTTAATGACTTGGCGAATAATTTGAAAAACTTTGATAATTTGTGTATCAACTCTTTTCACCGAACGAATTATTTTTGTTCGTATCCACAAAATCCTAGGTACGTCATGTATCAGGGCTGCGTAAAAGTATAAACTCAATTACTAGGCGAATATCTTGAAAAGTGTAAAGTGCGCATGAATGATTCACACTGAGAATTTAGCACGCCGAGAACAAGAATAAAATTGATACAATAATAAATTGATAACAATGGATTCGGATGGAGAGCCAATGGATTAATTTATAGAAAAGAAAAAGGACCAAGGAACTACAAGTTACGCTATAATGTCCACTAAGGCCACCAGTTGCAAATACACAGCTCATGCGAGAACATTACACAAGTTATTTCTATAACTTAGAAATTATAACCTTCCGAGTTGGAAGGCTGTTGCAGTGCGCATCCAAGATGTTCTAGAGCTGGTAGCCAGTTAGTTGTAGAACGTCAGTACCGTCGGTCAGTGTCGTGCAATTATGTTATCGCATAAGCTGATTGTTTGGTAACTGGTGGTGTTAGTGGACATTATAGCGTCACTTGTAGTTCTTTGATCCTTTTTATTTTCTAAAAATAGATTTCATTAAATAGATGGAAATAATTTGGAAAACAACACAAGAGCGCAACAGCAAGCCAGAAAAACAAAAATGTCACAATCCGATCAACAAGAACAAATTCGGAGAATGGAAAAACAACGTCTACCACAAATGGTGCAAAATCACACCAAAATACGACGAATCATACAAGAATCATACTCAAGATACTGGGGCACACTGCCCATTGCTGGCCCAAACTAACGATTGAAGGAGCCACGGTCCACCTGGTTAATCCCGGGTTAAGTTCCCAGCTGTCGATGTACTGCGATCAGAACAGCTCTTTTTTCTCGTTTTTACGCGCGGATACCGCGCAATTGGTGCAATTTCTCAAAAATTTACCTGAGTATGCCGCTCGGCCTGGCGTCCCTTGGCCGATTTTCGCTATTCTTCTTGTTGTTGAGTGCTGGTCTGGGTCCTACCGACCACTGCGTGTGGTTGTGGCTTCCAATGATTTCACGACTTGACATAGCCAATGTTTGAATATATTCAAAAAAGACCATTTTCTTACGTGGTGCACTGACAATAGGCCTGGGCGGATAATGCTAGTTATTTTGCGGGATAATGCTAATGGCAATGCCAGAAAAACTGTATCATAATGCTACTTATAGAGCTGCAGTTCCTCTGTAATGACAGCAATTCACCAATAGTAAGTATGGAAAAATGGCTTGGTTTGGGCAGTATTGTGCACGTTTCGTAGTTCTATGTAGACTGTAAGACAGCATGGAAAATGCTGGAAAATCATGATCCTAATGCTAATTGTACGCTGCTATTGCTCCGCAATGCCAGCAAAACCGCAATAGTATGCATGGAAAATGGCTTAGTTTGGCCGCCCTCTCGCCATAGCTATGATGCTATGATGCTACTTGTTATCCCCCCAGGCCTAACTGACAAACAGCCCCGCGCTCAAGGGGTTTAACGTGACCCATACATACAAAGATAAAATTCTTTTATTCAGGCATAAACAAGGGCCGAAAGAATGGCATTACAGAATGATCACTTGCAGTGAAAACCGCCAGTTCATCATTTTGCAACGCTATGCGAATTTCTTCAGCAACAGCTTCACCAAAAAATACACAAATACTACGACCATTCCAGCAAGGCAGACAAAGCCAAAGACCATAATACACCGGTACAATCTCTCCGACACTCTGCTGCACAAAGGTGCGCATGCGCGCTCCAGAGCGTTCTGCTCTAGCAGTGCAGCGTCCTCCGCGACTGGCGGCGGACTAGAAGCAGCTTCTCCGACTGCAGGAGCTTCCTCGACGGCAGACTGCTCCGGCGCAGTGCGAGGTCGAGGAAGCTCCTGCAATTCCTCTTCCTTCATGGTGGCAGGAATCTTGATCTTATCAACGGGACTTGTTGTTTGGTTAATGGGAAGATCTGCGTCTATATCCGTTTCCCGGACTTCAAAGGTTGCCTCTTCTTTTGGCCGTTCGGTTTTGGACGCTTTGTTGACGTGCAGATCTGCGTCGATATCTGTTTCCCGGACTTCACCGGTCACTACTTCTTTCTCGGCCGCACCAATAACCTTCATCTCGATCTGTTTTGCCTCCATTGTGTTGCAGAGTGTTGCAGAACGTACCCTGATGCCAAAACTCCAATTGACATTCAGAAGCGAACTGACCACTGGGTTGCTTTTAGACACAAAGACACATAGCGAAGCTGTTTCGCTTTTATACTCGGAGACGTGTGTTTCTCGTACTTTACAACTGGGAGTAATACTGTTTGGGATACAATGTTAGTTTCAAAAATTCGCTAGTAACGATCGTAAAGGCCGATTCATACTTCTATTGGCGTACGGGAAACGCCTCGCGTCGCGAAAAAGTTGATCTGAGCTCAACTATTTCGCCTACGGGAAAGCCATGGCGCTTGCGTTGCGCGATGGCTTTCCCGTACGCTGTATACGAAATGAAGTAAGAATCGGCCTTAAATCCGCTATGTTTAACTTTATCTTCCGCTCAGTCTGGCTTTTGCCGAGGGGCCTCTACACACGCCACCTGCAAAATATTCACACCGGCCGCGACGTGAAGTAACATGTAGACCTGGTGTTCTTCCACTTGTGGAAAGCGTTCGACTCTGTGTGGCACAGTGGTAAATGCAAATTTGGTGCGTCCATGGAGCTATGAAGCCGAGACCTCTGGTCGGCGGAGCTTAATGGGCCCCACCACCACACTCCATTATTCACCCCTGTGTCTGGAGATATATGGATTTTGTAGAAAAAATACCTACAATTATACAAAAAATTATTGTGAAAAGAAGAAGGACAAAATGTTACGAGTTATGACTAACTGTCCACCAACGTAACCAGATCTTATGCAGTCAGCGAGTGCGACAAAATGGCACAAAACTGACAAGGACAAGTTACGTTGGTGGAAAGTTAGTCATAACTCGTAACATTATGTTCTTCTTTTCACAATAATTTAATTGGCTCACCATCCGGGTTACATGATACAACAAATGTATGTTTTTAGCACCTGGGAGTAATAAAAACACCACACTTGTAAATACCACACTGGTATTTTACTACTCCCTGCTTAGCACCTTGTTCGCTTTGAATGCTGGCATTTCGGGTTTACCGTTAACATCACATCATTGCTACCCCTAACTACACTATCTTTACTTGAATCGTGGTTTGACCGTATTGTCCAATGATCTTGCCAGTATCGTCATCGGCATTCATGAACATCCACCAACGTCCGTCACAGCTAAGACTTTCAGCTCGTGCTTATCTTGGTTGCGCTCTCCTTCCCCTCCTTATGTTATTTCTATAACTAACTTAGAACGTGCCAAGTTGAAGGCTGATGGATTGCGCATCCAAAATGTCTGATGAGCTACGTTGTAGAGCTCTTAGCCTGTTAGTTGTAGAACGTCAGTACTGTCGGTCAGTGTCGTGCAATGTTATCGCATGAGCTGATTGCTTAGTTACTGCTGGTGTCAGTGGACAGTATAGCGTAACTTTTAGTTCCTTGGTTCCTTGGTTCTTTCTATGTTCCATAACCAGTCCTTGTCTCTCCATCCGAGTCCTTTCTTGCACACCTGATGAGCCGTCCATATCTATCCAGCGAAACGATCGTCGTGTGAAACTGCTGCTTGTCACCGCTGCTTATTGTTCAACTAAGTTGTCATACATGTAGTCGAAGTACAGGGCTCTTTTACTGAGGCGTTCGTTTTTTCACGATTCTTGTTCGCATAGCTTCCCCTTTTATTGATCTTCGCATCTTTTGAGCCACACAATTTGTGTGGAATATTGCTTTGCGTCTTTGGATCTTGGTTTGACCGTATTGTTAAATGGTCTTCCCAGTATCGTCATCGACATGCATGAACATCCGCCAACGTCCTTCACAGCTGAGACTTTCAGCTCGTGCTTATCTTGGTTGCGGTCACCTTCCCCTCCCAATGTTATTTCTCTAACTTAGAACCTTCCAAGTTGGAAGGCTGTTGGAGTGCGCATCCAAGATATGCTTAGGCTGTTCGCCAGTTGGTTGTAGAACGTCAGTGCCGTCGATCTGTGTCGTGCAATGTTATCGCATGAGCTGATTGTTTAGTAGCTGGTGTGGTGTTAGTGGACATTATAGCGTAATTTGTAGTTCCTTGGTGCTTTTCATTTTCTATAAACTAATTTTTGGCTGTGCATCCGAGTCCATTCTGTCATGGTATTTTCATTTTACTTCCCCATACTAGGTGCAAGCTTTGCTGCATTCTTGCTGTGAATCGTTAATGATGCCACAGCGCCTTGGCTATGATTTATTTCAGCGGGCGATCTTCATCAATTATTGTTTTCGATAAACCCACAGCTGAGATGAATGCGGATAGAATGAGCATGAAATCTAAAACGTTCGCAAACAATGCCAATGAAAATTGCACACTCAACAGTGCATTTGCTCTCAAAACCAATTTCTTGTTGAGAAAGGCGCGCTATTTTCTTGTCATCCATGACGTTTCCTGACGGCCGAAGAAGCAGAAGAGGCTGCAGACAGTTTTTGACAGTGACAGGGAATATTCTGACGACCTGCTGTCGTCGTCTTAGGAAGATGCACTTGACGACGATGATGTTTTGGATGCCAGCTCTGTTGGCACTCAAAAGTGTTTCAACACCTCACTTCGGCAACTTTTATTGATCCGAATTCGGTCGGGTCTTTTTTATAAGCTTTGTCCATCTACACCAATCTACACAGAACATATAACGCGTATAAAACAAATCATAGCCATTCTTGAGTTACAGCAGTCAATCGAATGCCGCATTTCCCCACAAATTGGTCCCTAAAGGGACATGCCACTCCCCTGCTGTGCCCCGGTTGCAGAGTCACGGATATACCCCGAAATAAAGTGAAGAGGGGACCATCGGAGCCATTTTGTGCCAGATATAAAACGTTTGTACTGAAGTTAGATAAATATAGACAAAGCGTCTGAGGTCCTTGCTGCAAAATAGTGCTCAACACTCTAACAAGGGCAGCGCACACTAAAGAAGCATTTCAGCAAAAACATTGATGTCCGACGAAACTCTGAGTCAGGAGAATTTCTTTTCTTTTTTTACTGAAATACACAGTCTAGCAGAGAACAACGGAATGGGAAGACAGAACCAAAGGGGATACATGAGAATACAACGGGAATTAGTCTCTGTTGTTCTGCCTCGTGAAGTGAAGTATATCCACAAGCATAGCGTTTGGCAAAGAGAACCGAACAATGTATTTATTCAACTACTTCAGCGCAAAATACAACACGAGGCCAACAACGACTACTCCACAAAAGCAAATAAAAAGAACGCGTTTGTTGTACGATATCGCACTGTAGTATATGCAACGTGGAATGCTTCTGCACATAGAACCAAATGCGCGTATTGGATTTCGTTGGGCCTTCTGTGCCACTTGTTCTGGAGAAGGAGGAGAAGGAGGTCTATGTATCTGTGCCCTAGGCTTTGCCCGAGGCTGCGAACGACGAGTCCCCGTGAACGCCCCAGCATCTGTTAAATCCGCATCAATGGCTGTTTCCCGAACGGTAAGGGTTAAATCCCCATCAATGGCCGTTTCTCGCACGGTATGGGGTAGATCCGCATCTATGTCCGTTTCACGGACCACGACGGCGACAGCTGGCTGGCTGGGCTTGGTTGCTAATACGTTCCCTTCCGTATCTCTCTCCATGGTAACGCAACTCAAAATTACTAAGCAACGCAAACAAATAATGAAATTGCTACTGAAAATACACAAGCCTGTAAAAATGAAGCTCCGATGAAAGAGCCTTACGGGAAAGAAGACTCCATACCAGCGGTTTCGCTGTCATACTCGGAGACGCGCAATTTTTTATCCGAGTGAAATACTACTAATGTTCCGATGTGAGTATGAAATAGATTCGTTAGTAGCGATCACGGTACGGCAACTTTAACGAATGCATTTCCCCTCACACGTTGGTAAGAGAAACTTACATGGGAAGCCCTACAGCAACGCACTTCTTTAAAAGAGCACGAAAATTCCAATTGTAACATGGAAAATGTGGGCACAAGTTATGCGATCGAGTCCACCAACTACATGTAAACTAGATTTTGAACGGTCAGACTTGCATAATCTGGCACAAAACTGAAAAGGAGTAATGCGTGCTGTTGAGTGTTTCAGTTGGTGGACTCGATCGTTTTACTTCCAAACGGGTTTCTTCAAACACTACGACATGGAAAGAAGGAAGAAAACCAATCGTTTTACTTGTGCTCACATTCTCAATGTTACTATTTTTTCGTGGCTCACCATCTCAGTTTAAAATTGCAAATCTTGAATGTATTTATATTCATTGTAAAACCAACTTCTACCGCGTTGATATGGTGCGTTGGTATGCAACATGGATAATATTCACTGCTATTACTTTAAGAACAAGTACAGAAGATGCAGGAAAGAAAAATGCCCGGAGTTTGTTGTCTTTCTTCATGAAGGCAAAGCTCGTCCCCAGTCGGTAACGACGAAGGTTATGACAAAGATGCCGACACTACAAATCATGACCTAGACAACATGTTACAACTGAAAGTAACTGGTCAGGTCACGGTAGCACGGCTGGTGTTCCCGCCTTGTTGCCAGGCGTCGGAGGACGTCCATGCCGCCGATCACGTCCGTGCCGCCGATCTAGATGAGTTCGCATCAACAGGCATAACGTGAAGAGATACGTGAAGCTGATTCCTGGGTGACTGGGTCCATTCCTACGGATTCTGAGTGTTTTAGATGTACGTGCCTGCTAGAGGCAAGTGGATTAAGCTCGGGATATGACCAGATTATGTTCTAGCGAATGCTGGCAGGATGCTGGAGAAAACAGCCGATTGTGCTTTCATATGCTTCGCCAAAAAGACCGAAAGAACAGATAATCGTCATGAAAAAAGGACTCAGACCATTGTCATGATGTGGACTTCGAGCTTTGTGGGAGTACAAGACAATAATATGCAACACGAATTCCAAATTCACAAGCAAACGCTAAACCTTTGGGAGATGTCCTATAGTTACTGCTAAAATATTATTCCAAATCGACAACAAGCGCTATGTATGGACCTTCAATAGCAGGTGTGTATATAACAGCCTCATTGGG